TAGCAAAGTGTTGAAGCTGAGAGGATTCATTTTCAAACAGAAGTACCGAGATTGTCATGGCTAGAAAGAACAAGGCAAGAATTCATTGCCTTCAAAAGATGTAGGATCAAAAGGTCTTGGTAGACACCTGGCATGTATCTTCTGTCCAGCATTATCTCTGGAGACTGGAGAGTACAGAATGTCTCTGAGAAGGTATATGAACTCCGACTTTTGAAGCAGGGAATTTCCCTTTATTCTTCAAAGTTAGAAGGTATACAGAAGAGATTTTAGAGCAGGCAGCCTCACAAACATATGTTAGTAGAAGGCAATTACTGTTACCTAGAAGAAACGTGGCCCCCATTTTGTCTGAGGAGAACAAGCAGCATTTCTGCCCCAAGCAAAACACTGGAGTCCTGACAGTAAAGGAGTCGCTGGACCAAGAGGTGATCTGAGATCTGTCTGCAGAGCGATACCTGCACTCTCTTCTTTAAGATATTCTTTGAAAACCCATTGCAGCTGATCCAAAGGGCAGTGGAGGTTCGTGCTGCTATTAGTGCTGAATTGGTTCTTCACTTCAGATTACTTCAGGAGAGGGCATACAACAGTTGGAGCTCTCCTTGTGAAATAGAAAATATTAAAAACTCTGAGCCTCCTGCAATCAGCCTGTGCTTGGAAATGCCTCGATTGTCTTTCTGACTTCCAGAAGATGCAGTGCACAACACATAAGCTATGCTTGCTATGTTTGCCTGTAGCTTGCATCTTTGTTAAGCACATTTGACAGAAGGTTTGTGTAGGACGCCTTCTAGACGTTTCATACTGGCCTGGATTATTAGTGCCAACCCAAACGTCTCAATAAGTACTAAGAAAGTGTCTTTATTTGCCAGAGCCGTCAGGTGAGAAACGTGTTTCCTAATTTGCCCTAGCAATAGCCAGAACCTAACGGAGGAGATGTGTGCTGAGACTCCGGGCTGGACGCCCATGTGCAGTTCCTGCGCTGGACGCCCAGTGCCGCTGTTGGCCAGTGCTGTGCCTGTGTTGCTGCTACTGGGCCTGGAGCTCCCAAGCCAGGGGAGACCAGTGAGCACCAGTCAGATTCTGCATGGCTGCTGACATTAGCTGAGAGCCCAGCCGAAACGTCCCGGTTGCACTGGAATATGCCCTGGTTCAAAGCCTTTCCAAGGGATGTGCTGGGATCTGCCTCATCGAGGACAGTCTGAAAATGCCAAGAAGACAAGGCAGAACCGGGAACGTGAAGGAGGGATACGGTCTCCCAGGTCCATCCCAGGGGGATTTGGGAGGATTTCGCCACAGGTCTGGGCTGTCTCAGGCAGAGCCCGTTGGTTGGTAAGCACTGACTTAATACCGCGAGAAAAAAGTGTTTGCATTTAGCAGAGTGCTGGGGAAGGCATTAACTGCACTGAATGCAGACAGAGGAAGCCGGTTTATCTCTTGGAAAATGAACCACAAACAGGACATGTACCACTGATAGTTACAGTATAAAGGAGAGCCAGAATGTTGGGAACGATTCTCCTGGCTTTCCTCACGTTTGCATCCAGTGGAGACCTCAGGGCAGCAGTTCCACAGGAGAGCTGGGAATTAAGGTGCTGAGGGATAGAGGTAAGAGAAGAAATCCGTCCTGGGAGCTGGCTGGGAATGAGAGGATGGGAACGTTCCTCCCTCTTTTCAGTCGGGCATGGAAACCACAGTGACTCGGGGAAGCATCTGTGCTTTGGTCTGCAGGCAACTGCTCCTTCCAAGCCAGGCTATCCTCAGGGTGTGTGGAGGTGGATGGGCAGTGGCTCCAGGGATGGGTAAGAAGCCTTTGCCCAGGGGAGCAACAAAACCCGGCATGGAGCCGCTGAGATTTCTCTCAGCAAATCTGAATTCCTAGCTGGAAGACCAAGAAAGGGATTTTGGAGACTGAAATTGCACAGGCTGCACAATTGCAGGCAGAATCTTCTTTTAGGAACACTGCATTCTGAAATATGGAGACATACCAGGAACCAAGCAGAATATATTGCTCTAGCTCTTTTCTAGCGCTAAGATGTAAATCTCAGAGTAAAGAGGAGAACCGGTTTTCAGTAATTTTAAGCTACTTTCTTAGGATAAAGACATCACCACTAAAACAAAAAATGAGGAAGCCTGCAACATCGCTATGTGCTCAAGGAGATGAGTGAATTGTCTGACACATTTATGCAAATTACATTCTTATTAGAGCTATAGTTCCTTAGTCTATCCTAAAACACAGTATGCCTTCATCTGACAGTATACATACTTCTTTTTTTCCACTCATACACATCCATTTTATTGTTGTGACCCAACACCAGTGTTATCTATCCAGTGGTGCATGGTTAGTGACCCTCTTTATTTCACATTTCTCTAAAATCTGAAAAAATGGGAGCTTCAATCTAAAAGCAGCATCTTCTGATGTGCAAATATACTATTATAGCTCCATTAAGGATCATTGTTCTTCTTACACCCTTCTACACCTGAAGCTGAAGGACACCATTTCTCTTCTGAAATGAGGGGAGTAACAATTAACTGGGTTACTGCAGTCAGGGTGGGAAGTGTCTGTGGAAGCTCTTCTCAGCTTGTGTCTGTTCCCCGCTGCATAGTGGTGCCAAAGATTAGTTTGTGGAGAAGCAAATACATCTTCGTCTCTCAGAAGTGCCAAGAGCTGAGCAGGAGCACCAGCAAGGGCACAAAGTAAATGGATTCCAGGTGTCACTGTTGTTTTTGCATGGCACAAATGAGGAAAGAAGCCACATTCCCAACGCATCTACTGCTGTACTTGTCCTATATATGGTTTTACATCATGTTTCAGTGTTGGTGATAATGATAGCAACTCGAGAGATGAACACGTCCCTGGAATGGAAGAAGGGAAGAAAGAGCTGACCTGGCCTTTGATTAAGTTAGCCTTTTAGAGTCTATCATGCTTCCAAGTCAAAGAGCGGTAAGAGGAAGTCACCAAAAATGGTTACATACGTGCAAAGCCCTCTAGTAGCTAAAATTCTGGGGAATCCTAAAGTCAACCCTGGTTGTTACTTTCTCCTACTGATACAGTCAAAGAAGTTTTTGTTTTCAAACCAATGAAGCCATCAGCGACTTTCTAGGACTTCACCTGGTTAGTATTGTTTTACAGTGTCAGCCCTTTTAGCAAACAAAAATAAGGGAAAAAAACAGTTAAGGAAAAAACTAGGAAATTAAAGGAAAAGTGTCAAACCCAAGGAGGTTAGGATACTTTCTGTATTTAAAAACCAGCGTGGTTCCTTTTACTGTGGAAGCTGTATTAAAATCGCTCGAACCAAAAATAAGCAGTGCAAGCTGTATTTTGTTTTCTCCTCCATTTTTTTATTCTGTGAGAGGAAGACTGGTCTTGGAGGCAGCTGTGCGCATCACCAGGACATTGCGTGGGCATTTGCCGGAGCTCGCCGCTGGATCCGCAGGAGTAGTCGCGGTGTAAATCAACCCTCAGGGTCGGCGCTGAGTGCCTGACCCTGGGGTTTTTATCCGGTGTCCGGCACAGATCCTGGCTTGTACTGCCAGGCCGTGCTCAGGACCTCTCGCTCTCCCCTCCCATCTCCGTTTCCCCACGGTTGTTCTTCACAGGTCCACTCTTGACCTCTCCCTTTTACCGAGTTTGATCCTGCCTCTAACTCTCCCGTAATAAGCTTTGCGTATTCCTAGACACCCCCCTCAAATCTCTCGTAATCAGTTTGCTCTTTCCTATGAAACCTTTTCTGATAATCCATGATAATATCTTACTTCCCCCCCTCCCGTCATCGTTTACAAAGTTTATGGTTGAACCTCTCGCAGTTTACACTTGAATGGTTTCTCTAATGGCCTGCCCATCAGTGTCGTTAGGTCCCTGGTCTTTGCTGTTGTCTCCATTAGCTCCTGCTCGTTAGCGTTTGTGTATCTGGGGGCTTAATTAATGAGCTTTCTAGTTTGTTTCCTTGCCTTTTGTATTAAATAGCTGTTGGCCGTATATCCTTACACAGGTACAGGAGTTCAGGTTTGACCTCTGAGTACAGGGACCTTTAAAGTACCTCTAAGCCTGTGCAGCAACGTCAGAGGAAAGAGTACTGTATACTTCCAAAACATGAAAACAGGTTGCAGCATTTCGATGCTGGGGACATTTTTCACGAGTGTGTTGCACAGTGACACACCTTATCGTGGGTGCAAAGATCAGCAGGCAGCAGGGGAGGATACTTCTGTCAATTAACGAGAAAAACGCTTTTCACACAGAAAACCGTTCAAGTTGTGTGAAATTCGGGCGAGGTGCGGTACACAATGTGAAGAAAACAACATTAAGATGATGTATCCTAGAATAACATTATCATTCTAGTGTGATGGTGAGGTAGGGTGATGGTGAAGCAGTTGCTTTCGGGACCTTCCCCTGGCACCACCTCTCATATTCAGTAGCGGTGCTTCTCTGACCCGCCCCGCTTCTAACTGTCCTGTGCTTGTTAACAAGTAGAGAAGAGAAGGAAAATCCCTCAATGCATCCTGTGGAAGCGGCAGATCTTGCACTGCCTACACAAACCGGAGGAAACCCAAAACCTGCATATGAAGAGTTCGCGGTTGTAAGTTGGGAAGTGATACCCAGAGCAGCGCAAGGTATGCGGGGAGGGAGCCTGCTTCCAAACGAAGAGAGCATTTACACTGAGGTTTTCGGCTTCGATTTGGCACAAAGAGTGCAGATTCAAGCAGCAAACTCCAAACCAGCAGCGCTGTCCCGAATGAGAGGGCAGAGGAAATATTCCCCCTTGCGACGCTGGGTGGGGGTGTTGGCCACGGACCGGCAGGTTGCAATGCCCGCACCCGGTTTGCAGGCACAGGGAGACAAAAAAAAAAGCCGTGTGAGCTGCTCGGGAAGGGCGGCGGGGCGCGGGGTCGGGGTGCTCGGGGGCTTTCAGACCCCCTTAGCCCGGGATTCCTGACAAACACCGCTCTGCCTCGGACGCGGCTTAAAAATGCTGGGAACCACGGAGGACGGTGGATGGCTTTTCTGGAGAGTAATGGCGTGTGTGAGACAGAGCAGAGGCAGAAAGAGGCAAGTGATCTTGTTTATTCTGTGCGTTTGTGTGTGTCAGAGCGGGGCTGAAACCCTCCGCTATTCTCTGGCGGAGGAAATGGAGAGGGACTCCTTTGTCGCCAATATTGCAAACGACCTGGGCATTGCTCCGAGCCAGCTCGCAGCTCGCAAGGCCCGCATTGTGTCTGAGGGGAACGAGCAGCTTTTCCGCCTCAATCAGAACACCGGAGTACTGACAGTAAAGGAGTCGCTGGACCGAGAGGAGATCTGTCCGCAGAGTGATACCTGCACACTCTTCTTTAAGATATTCTTTGAAAATCCATTGCAGCTGATCCGAGGGGAGGTGGAGGTTTGTGACATGAATGACAACTCCCCCGTGTTCCCAGAGAAGGAGATGGTTTTAGAGATTCTGGAAACAGCACCTCCCGGGTCCCGTTTTCCTCTGGAAAGTGCCCAAGACAAGGACGTGGGAAGTAACAGTTTGCAGAACTACAGCCTTGGAGCCAACTCGCATTTTTCCCTCGCTCTCAGAACAAGGAAAGGTGGAGCAAAATATGCAGAGCTCGTCCTAGAGCAGCAGCTGGACCATGAAGAGCAGCCGGAGCTGAGTTTGTTCCTCATTGCCACCGACGGGGGCTCACCACCCAGGTCGGGTACTGCTCAGGTCCGGATCGTGGTCATGGATGCCAATGACAACACCCCAGTCTTTGGTCGGGAGATCTACGAGGTGCGCCTGGCTGAGAACAGCCCCCAGGAGCAGCTGGTGGTCAGAGTTGTGGCTGTGGATCCTGACGAAGGGCCCAACGGGAAAGTGCGGTACACCTTCACCCAGACATCAGAGCGGTCCCGGCAGATCTTCAAGCTGAACCCTGCCAGTGGGGAGATACGGGTTGTGGGCAACCTGGACTTTGAGGAAGCAAAAAACCACGAGATGATGGTGAAAGCCACTGACAGCGGGGGGCTGTCTGCGCATTGCAAAGTGCAGGTGGAGGTCCTGGACGTGAATGACAATGCCCCAGAGATAGTGCTCACCTCCCTCACCGCCTCCATTCCTGAGGACACCCAGCCCTGCACTGTGGTGGCCCTGTTCAGTGTGCGGGACCAGGACTCCGGGGACAACGGCAGGATGGAGTGCTCGATCGACGGGGACTTGCCCTTCAGTCTTACCCCCACTTTCGATAATTACTATGAGCTGAGGACTAATGCAGCGCTAGACAGGGAGAGGATGGCAGAGTATAACATCACCATCACAGCCATGGACTGGGGCACAACGCGGCTCAGCTCTCAGGAAAGCATCTTTGTGCAGATATCGGACGTGAACGACAATCCCCCACAGTTCACTCAGGAGGTTTACACCATGTCAGTCACAGAGAACAACAGCCCCATGCTGCGGATTGGCAGTGTGAATGCCACGGATGCTGACGCAGGGAAAAACGCCCGTGTAAACTACAATCTGGTGAGGCAGGAGGGCAAGGAGCAGCCCGACATGTCAGTCAACTCTGAAAGCGGGGATGTTTACATCCTCCACCCGCTGGACTATGAGGAGGTGCGTGCCTTCGAGGTGAAGGTGTGCGCTGCTGACAGTGGCTCGCCGCCACTCAGCACACAGGCGGTGCTACGCGTGGTGGTGCGGGATGAAAACGACAATGCACCCGTTGTGCTGCACCCATCCCCTGACAGCAGCACGGTGGCAGGCGAGCTGGTGCCACGCTGGGCGCACGCGGGCTACCTGGTGGCCAAGGTAGTGGCGGTGGATGCAGATGCAGGGCAGAATGCGTGGCTGTCTTATGAGTTGGCCAAGGCAACGGAGCCAGGGCTGTTCCACGTGGGGCTGCACAGCGGAGAGGTGCGGACGGTGCGGGCCATGGCAGAGCATGAAGCGCCACAGCAGAGGCTTGTTGTGCTGGTGCGAGACCGCGGGCAGCCGCCGCGCTCCACCACCACCACCCTCAGCATTACGCTGGTGGACGGTTTCTCCGATGCCCATTTGCGGTTGAGTGAGGAGGCACCGGCTGCTGATCCCGATGGGCCACTCACCCTGTACCTCATCGCTTGCCTGGCCTGTGTTTCGGCAGTGTTCCTGGCCACCGTGGTGGCTGTTGTGGTGGTGAAGGTGCGGCGGGCCAGGCCGAGTGAGGCAGAGACCTTGCCTACGTTCCCGAAGTCTGCCACGGAGAGCACCGCGGGCTCCCTGCCCCGCAGCTACATGTATGATGTTTGCTTCACCACCGGGACCATCAACAGTGAGTTTCAGTTCCTTAGGCCCCTCTTCCACTGCTTTCCTGCCGGGCTGCCCCCCAGCCAGGGTGAACAGCAAAGCTCAGCGTGCTTGCAAGAGGTGTCCAACCTCGGAGAAGAAGGCAACTGGGCTGCACAGGTGAGGGACCTGGTTGGGCTGAGGTGATGGAGGGGAGCAGCACGCTGGGGTGGAGGGGTTCACTCCTGGTAGTAAAGACTATAGATATTGCAGAGCTGGTGGTGAAGGAGCTACTGGGGCAGGAGGAGAGGGTAAAGAGGGTCTTAGAGCCACTGGCGGAGGCCTCCCAGGAGGATCCGGCATGGCTCAGCTGCTCCCCAAGTGCTGACTAAACTTACCCCTCTGCATCCAGCTCTATGCCGTGAGTATTCACATTAGATCAAATCTTTGGTGTCACCACAACGGGTGGCAGCTGCACTATGAGAAGATGAGAAGTAAAGGGTATGTATGTGTGAGCCGCACAGTGGGTCGTCTCCATGGACTGTGTACAGCCCGAAGGGACCCACAGCAGGAATGACACCGCTCCTAGGGACACATCCTCATGGAGGCGGCAGCACTGGGAATGTAGTGGTCCTGTCTAGCGTAAACTGGGACTGCGGGGACAATGGTACAAAGGGGTGTCACTTCACTGATATGTCACTTCCTGCGCTGCTGTTAGGAGCTGGTGCTCGGCGCTGCCAAGTGCCGTTCACCAGGGTTGTGGCAGTGGTGAACTCAAGCTGTCTTTCAAGCTGCTGGAGTGGGGACCTCTGCCATTAAATTCCCATATATTTTTGTGGCTTGTATGAACAGTATTGGCCAGAAAAGTGTGGTTATTGGGGCGTTACAAAGCACCCTCCTGGTCCCTTCCTCATCCAGCCCGGTGCTCCCAGACCATACCAGCACTTCTCTTCTCAGCGCTGCTGTGAACTTAAAGTGAGCCCTGTAATCTCTGGCTGTTTATAGAGCATGGGGGAGACAAAAGGTGGTCATTGAAACAGCTCCTTCTCTCCTCACTCTCCCATTAAGTCCAAGTCCTCTCTAAACATGGGGTTTACATCTAGCACTTCACAAGAGTCCGGACAATGAACACATAAAGGCCCACAAACACCATCTTATCATCACTCCGCAACATTTTCATATTTCACAACCACTGATGACTTGGACTCACTTGACTGCAGGTTCTCAGAACTGCAGTCACAGTAGACTCAGGGGAGAAAAGGACTCACCTTGATACATCAACATTAAACCACATTTACTGTTTGTGAGAAGGTGGTTTTATCTTGAGCTCTTACCATCTTAAATTATGTCCTCAGACTCATGAAAGATTTGCAGTAGTGTCTTTGTGATGTCCACAGTGGTGGATGGTTTCTGGCTTTAGATTTTCATCGTTCAGGTCAGAGACCCACCGCCTGGTCCAACCTCCTCTTTGGCTCTGGGTAGAGAAAAGTGGTGGTGTTAACAAAAAAGCCAGTCGAAGAAACTCTCTAAGACTCGATTTTGGAGCTTTAGAAAGCAGGCGTTCTTTATTGCAGCGTTGGATGCACGGGGGATAATTCCTCCTAGCGTGCACACTGTTACCTACAGCAAACAAAGCTTATATAGTTCTAATCATTTACATATTCATGTTATCATATACCTAGTGTCGGCCCCTTGGGCATGCGCATTATGGGTCATCTCTTTTCCCTAGTTGGTTGGCCTTGGCAGGTTTTAATTACAAAAACTCAGCAGGACCCAAGGCTTGTCATCAGGCCCTGAGGCCTCTTGTCTGTTGGTGCCTTGGCGCATACGATTGACAAAGCTGAAGGTTTTCTTATCTTATTCGTACAACCAAAGGTTTGAAGTTGCTCAAGCAAGCAAAAGTCAATCACTACAGTGAAGTTTTCTTTCTCATGCCTTTATTCAAGGCATCAGTGTCACACATGCAGTAGTGTAAGACATGCTCTCTAAGCTTCTCGCTGATGCCTGCTTACCTTCAACACCCAAATGACAACCTCCATTCTCTGTTCGTTGCAGGGCAGAGCTCCCCCCTCCGAAGACATGGGTCTCAGACCTGCGGAAGCAGCTTGCACTGCAAACATGGGGATGGAGCTAAATGTCAATTCTCATCAAAACCCTTGGCTCACTCCCCAGTAAGTGAGGAGAAAGACAAGCATGTCTGTCCTCACTGGCTAACATCCTCACAGGGAAAAGAGAATGAAAAGACAAAACACCCACCAAAAAGTTACCAGGGAGGTACAAGGCTTCTCTGTGAGAGAGCAAAACCACTCTCCTCTTGAGCCATACTTTATTCATGTAGCTATTTTGTAATTGTGATATGGATAGAGGAGGAGCACTGTGTTGCATGTTGATTACACTGAGACTTGATGTATGATTGTGAGTGCTACTGTTTCTGAATCTTAAGGGAAATACTGAAAACCGGAAGCAGATCTTCAAGGTAACTTTTTCCTACATCACCTTTTCTGTGGTTTTTTTTTTGGGGGGTGGGGGGGGTGGTTGGGGTTTTTTTCTTATGGAGAGGGCTCTGTAATAATGTCTTAATTTTCTGCAACCTGTTCAATACCAGGCCAAACAGATATTAAGCAAAATGAAGTGGTGCTTGCAAAGTAATTCCTTAATAACAAGCAGAATCTGATTACATTAGAAATGGCTGACACTGGCACATTTCACATATTTGACCGGGAATTTACAGGTCTCCATACTGTAAAGAGTGGGCTTTGAGAAATGTATTATTATTTTTTTTTTCATAACATAAAGTTGAAATGAACATTTCGAGATTTTTGAGTGTAAGGTCATAGACAATTTAAAGTACTCTTTGTGGTTTTACAGTAAAATAGGCTAAAACTTTTAGAATAAACTTAAGGCACTGTAGAAGATAGTGTGTCAAGAAGCTTTCTGTTTTCTTTTATTTTCATTATTCGGTACTCTATAAAGTAATGTGATATTTCCTCTCACTCACACGTTTTTAAGAGTCAAACACCTGATGACAGAAAACAAGAAAACCTCCTTGGAACTCCCTCGGGTGAGTGTGTTTTTTCAAAGATGACTTGTCACAGTCATCGCCGAGGAAATAACCACCCCAAGAGCAGGATTTCAGGAATAAATCTGTGCATTTGGAGTGGATTTTATGCAGGGGTAATCAGAGCGACCTGGAAGTAGGCCATTGTCAGAAGCTGGAGCAAGATGGAGGGGGATTTTCTGAGCAAAGCTGAGGTCTGAGAGATGCTGCCCCTAGCCCCTTCAAGAGGGCTCCCATCCTGAGACGTCATGAATTGGGGGAACAACCTCGGTCCATTCCAGAAACCAGCCTGAGAATTACTACGGTGATCGCTGCCCTGGCTCATCGACCAGCTGACTCTCAGTGCTGGACACCTGTAACAATACATAGCTGCTTCAGCTAAACAGCCTACAAGTAATTTCTTCACACTGCATAAACAGTTCAAGCCATTGTAGGGAGGGACATCAGAAAAAGCAGCTTAAAATAAATCTCGTTTTCAAATAAAAGGCTTCTATTTGAAGCACTGCTCCTTCAAGTGATGCCCATACTTTGAACAGGGTTGTATGGGCAGTTAAATCTGTATGCCCTGACCTGGGAACAGAGAAAGACAGCGTTTTCTTTCTGCTCTGCAGTCTTTGCCCTGTGAAATCTCCGCGCCCTTCTGCAGGTCGGCCGCCTGGTGCCGCTGCTGACAGCAGAGGCGCGGAGGCTCCGCGCAGCTCCCACCTCCACCGCCCCCGGGACTGCGGGGCTGCATCATCAGGGGCTGCTCTGCTCAGGGTCCAGCAGGCGGGATCGACAGCTCCACCCAGCTCACAGGGGTAGGAGATCGGTTCGCTGGGAGGGATGGCGCTGAGGAAGAGCGAGGAACGGCTCCCAGGGCGAGCGGTGGCTCTGATTCTGCTCCTCTGCGTGTCGGGGATGAGAGCAGAAACCGCCCGGTACTCTGTGACCGAAGAGGCGGAGAGAGGCTCCTTTGTGTCGAATATCGCTAAGAATTGGGGACTGACTGGTGAGGAATTATCGGCTTGACAGGCTCGGCTCGTTCCTGGAGGAGTAAAGCAGTATTTACAGCTGAACCAACACGCCGGGGATTTGGTGATGTGAGAGCGGATGAAACCGGGAGGAACTGTGCGGACAGAGCGAGCCCTGCCTGGTGCGTTTTGAGGTGGTGCTGGAGAGCCCACTGCAGTCCTTCTGAGCTGAGGTAAGCTTCACTGACATAAGTGATCATGCTTCTGTGTTCTTAAATAAAGAGATAGTTCTAAAGATCCCGGAAAGTGCAATGCTGGAGGCTCAATTTTTTGTTGGAAAGCGCTCAGGATCCGGAAGTGGGGAACAACAGTCTTCTGCATTACAGTATCCGCTCAGACGACTACTTCCAGATCTACGCGTGGAGGTGGAGTGATGGCAGGAGGTACACCGAGTTGGTGTTGGACTGAGCCCTGGACCGGGAGCAGCAGGCAGAAGTGGCTTTCAGTGTCATGGCTGTGGATGGTGGGTCTCCACCATGCTCTAGTACAGCCTTAATCCATGTGGTCGTCCTGGATATAAATGACAACGTCCCAGTATTTACCCATAGTCTGTATAAAGTCCAAGTATTAGAAAATAGCACCGAGGATACCCCAGTGGTGGTGGTGTCTGCTAATGATTTAGACTCAGGAACGAATGGAGAGATATCCTATTCCATCATTCCAAATTCAGAGGGAAATCACCAGACGTTTAAAATAAATCCAGAGGCAGGGCAGATTCGACTCAAAAAGCCAGTGGATTATGAAGAAACAAAGACCTACAAGATAGACGTCCAGGCCACAGATGGAGGGGGCCTCTTCACGCACTGCAAGGTGGAGGTGCAAGTGGAGGATGTGAACAACAATGCCCCTGAGGTGATCACTGCCTCCCTCACCAGCACCGTCTTGGAAGCTGCCCTGCCGAACACCACCGTGGCCCTCTTCAACATGCATGACCAGGACTCAGGGGACAACGGCATGACGAGGTGTGAGCTGCTGGGCAAGCAGCCCTTTAGCATCAGGCCACTGGCTGCTGATGCATATGCGCTGGTGACATCGGAGGTGCTGGACTGGGAGGAGGTGGTGGAGTACAATGTGACAGTGTGGGCTCATGATGAGGGCTTCTCCGCACTCTTGGCATCCAAGAAGCTGCTGTTACAACCCTTGGACATGAACGACAATGTGTCCACCTTCACCCAGGATGTTTACACCATGGTGCTGAGCTAAAACGAGCCCACAGGGACGAGCTTGGGCCGCCTGACTGCCTCAGACGCCAACATGGGAAAAAATGCCCACGTGAGATACTCGATGGGACTGGTCCCGCCGGGAGTGCCTGCTGTGGCATCGTTCGTGTCCATGGATGTGGAGAGTGGAACCATGCAGGCGCTCTGCCCACTGGACTATGAGTATGTGTGTGCCTTCCAGGTGGAGGTGCGGGCTGTCGACAGTGGCTCACTGCCACTCAGCACACAGGTGGTGCTACGTGTGGTGGTGCGGGATGAGAATGACAATGCACCTGTTGTGCTGCACCTGCCCCCTGACAGCAGCATGGCAGAAGGCGAGTTGGTGCCGTGCTGGGCACGGGCGGGCTACCTGGTGGCCAAGGTAGTGATGGTGGATGTGGACGCGGGGCAGAACGTGTGGCTGTTGCACGAGTTGGCCAAGGCGATGGAGCTGGGGCTGTTCCATGTGGGGCTGCACAGCAGCAAGGTGCGTATGGCATGGGCTGTGGCAGAGCATGACACACCCCAGCAGAGGCCTGTTGTCCTGGTGCGAGACCGCGGGCAGCTGCCGTGCTCCGCCACAGCCACCCTCAGCATAGCGCTGGCGGACGGCTTCTCCGACACCTTCCTCCAGCTCTCCAACGCTCATGTGGGGAGGCAGGAGCCGCAGGCAGCCGAGGAGGACATGCTCACTACCTATCTCATCACCTCCCTGGGCTACGTCTGGTTGTTCTTCGTCCTGTCTGTCCTAGCCTTTTCAGCGGACAAGATCTGCAAGACTTGCCTCTGGGCATGCCTTGCGACTCCCTCTGCCAGCTGCTACGCTGATGGCGTCTTTGCCACCGGCCACACGGACATGGCCAAGACAGACACTCTGTCGCTGGCTTACTGCTATGAAGTGTGCCTAAGCAGGGGCTCGGATAGGAGTGCATTACAGTTCCTGAAGCCCGACCTGCACAGTCAGCAAAGACGTGCTGAGGCCATGGCAGGCAAGGACGAAGAACGGCTGTGCAGCACGCAGCCTGCGGGCGAGAGGGAAGGCAACCCGGGGAGCACAGCCCCTCGTCCCGCTCAGGTGCCGGACCGGGCGTCCGGAGGGCGCGCCCACGCCTGAGCCTCGCTGGGACCGGCCTCCGTTCCCCGTCCTCAGCCCGACGTTCCCGAGTAGATGTAGTGCCGTGCCGTGCTGCGACCTGCGGGCTGCCCCGGCGGAGGCTCTCTCCCGGTTTCTGCGGCCGGGGAAGGCGTGCCGTGGGAAACGCCTCGTGCTCGTCTTGCCGCCGTGTTGCTCGGAGGGCGCGGATCGGCCTCCCGGAAGCCGGGCGCGCACGCTTGCCCGCGGGCTCTGGGCAGCGGGGAGCGGGGGAAGACGCGGGGCAGCTGCCGGCGCTGCCCGTGCGCCCGGACTCAGGCGGCGGCCGCGCAGGGCTCTGGGCGCTCCTTCCCTGCGCTTCCCTCCCCGGCGCGGTGCGCGCGCGTGCTGCCGCGG